TTTTAAGATGAATGATCAATGCATGATTTTTTTAATAAGTTGTTAAAGCAAAGATCAAATACTGAAATGGTCAGTCTCTCTATATAGAGAACGATAAGACTAAAGCAAAAAAAAAAATCTGCAGCTTAAGTATGGAAAAATTTCTTATTTCTGAAAGGCACTACCAAATGTCAGCCAAACCCAAAATGCAATGATAATCTATAACCATACAGATCCATAACATTTGCAAAAGGCTCCAAATGATATTGAAATCAACCGTACTACTATTTTTCAGCATGTAGTAGGCATTTAATAATTGCTTGTTGATTGATTTCTCCTAGCTTTTCCACCCTCATGTATCATGAAGACCATTGAGAGCAACAGGATATAGTCTTGTGAGTTTCTAATTTGTCATACATCTATAGAGTGCAGACTTGGGCATTGAATAAATGCTAGTTGATTGATTGGTTTCACAGATGGCTTGGAAGAGGGTATGAACAACTTAAAAATAAAATGCTCCTACTGTAACATATATTCCATATTTCATTCAGAGCAGCATGGTAAACAAGTTCAACAATCTTCCCAGTCCATTAAATTAAAAAAAAAAGTTTTATTGCTGTCTTGTTTTTTGAACCAGTTCCATTTCCTTGTATTCTTTCCCCACCCCCATCCTTCCCAGTCACAAAGAAAACATGTGAAAACAAAGCTGTCACTACCCTTGAAATTGTTTAGTGGTTTCTGTTATACCTCCAGTGAAAAACAATGGAATTAAAATGAATCTAATTAGCATTTTTTTTCCACTCACTAATCTAAAATTGTTACTTGTTTGGGGCAAGTAGGCAAAAGTGTTTATCCTCAAGTTTTTTTTTCAGAGACTACAGAAGGTGGCAGTCACTTTTTCTTGTGGGAGGAGCCTTGAACAGAAGGCAGGCAGGATCCAGGAAAGAGCTCTACAGCCTTGTTGTTGTTTTGTATCCCAAGGGTCTAGGACTGTGGCTGCCTCCTTAAACTGAAGGGAACAATGGAGGTGGGGCTTCTTCCCCACTTAGTTCTCTTTCTCTACTTCTGTCCTTCTTAGGATAAATAAGGCATACAATCCTCTTGAGTGAACACACATTTTGACGGGGATTTATGAAGTTGCTTACAGGATTTAGGATTACTTACTACTGTGTGCTATTTTAATCCAACCCGGAACAAGTATTTTTAACGTCCATAATTCTTTACTACCTCGTGACTTATTATTGTCTATATTCCCTTTACAGGTACTGATCATGTCATTCTATAGGACACTGGTCGGTGTGTTTCTCCGTGAATCTTTCTTAGAGGATCTACCCCATGAAGTACAGGATTTCCTTAGGTCCATAGACACTCACTGGGGAGGGAGAGAGAGAGAGAGGGGCAGCGAGCTGATATCAGCTGGATTTTGAGTCATCGGGTTTTGTGTGACTTTGGGCAAATTGCTTAACGTGAGTTTTAGCTTACTCATGTGTAAAATGAACATATTGGACTGGATGACACCGGACCCTGGCTCTAGGACTCCTGAGTACACTTCCCCTTACTCTAAATATATCATTCTTTGAATAAAATAAATAAAAGCCACATTCTTTGCTTGTCCCCCAGCATGCAATTTAATACTTATTTTCAAAGCCTTTTGTTTATATTAGATAAGCAAGGGGGCATTGCCTCTTCATTCCTTCAACACTGAGCTCAAGAAGGGAGTTTCTGCAGAAGCCTTTCCCTAGTGCTCCCCATCCTATTTTTGAGATTATTTTTACTTTCCATTTTCTTGCCAAGTATTTTGTTGGTGTATATTTGCTTTTGGTCTTCCTCCTTAGCAAGTGAGCTCTTTGAGGGTAGGGACCCAATTTTTTTCCTTACTTTGTAGCCCCAGTGCTTTAAGGTACAGTATCTGGAACATAAGTGCTTAATAAATGCTGGTTAACTGTTCAGTTGACATTATAGAACTTGAAATGTATTGCCTGAATAGATAATAATAATGATAGCTAACATTTATATAACATCTTTGCCAAACACTTTATGTATATGATTTGATTTGATTCTCACAACTATGAGAAGTAGATGCTATTATTTCCCCCATTTTATAGATGAGAAAACTAAGGCCAACAGAGGTTAAATAGTTAAGCCCACACAGCTAGTCAAGTATCTGAAGCCAGATTTGAACTCAGATCTTTCTGAAACCATGTCTAGGGCTCTATCTACTGCGCTATCTACAAACTAGTCTCCAATTAATACATTATTCATATTTATAATAAGATGCTTTTGCACACTGAAAGGTTATGAAAAGGTAGCCTGATATGATCTTATTAATATCAATAATTAAACAAAAAACTTATATACACAGGTCACCTGTCACAACAACTTGTGAATATTACCAATGTGGAAAACCTGAAGCCAATAGGGGTTAATCTATTCACTGATATTCACACAAGGAGATAGTAAATAGTACTAGTTTGCTAAAACACAGTTTTCTCATCTGTAAAATGGGGGACAAGAAGAGACTAGATGATCTTAGACCTCTTTCAGTACTAAAATCCCATAATCATATTACCTCCAAAGTGACTGGCAAACAATGCTGTACAACCAGGGACATATGACATTCTTCTAAACCCTTTAGATGTGGAACAGTGGGGGAGAAAAGGAAGGACTTGGGCAGAAGAAAGAACACCCAGGCTTTGGAGGTAGTGGTGTGCAGCCCAGTGCTTGGGTTCTATTGTAAAGGGTGTATTGGGGGTCGGTGAAAGGCTCTCCATTGCCTTCTCTTGTTGCCTCATACATCCTACATTCAAAACTAGTATAATAGAAAGAGCAGGAGCAGTCAGGAGGCTCCTACACAGAGAGTTCCAGTTCCAACCCTACCAGCTGGGTTACTTCAAAGGTTTCCCGTGGCTTCTAAGGTAAAATACAAACCCTTCAATTTAGTAGCTGAAGCTCTTCATCATCTGGTCCCAGCCTACCTGACCAGGTTTGTTGCATGTTACTCCCCTTCGGGCACTCTAGTGAGACTGGCCTACTTGTGGTTCTTAGCAGTTCACACTCTTATTTTTCTGCGTCTGTGCCCAAGATCTAGAAAGCATTCCTTCCTCACCTTCTCTTGGAATCCCTAGCTCTCTTCAATCAAGCCCGGGCCATCTCCTACAGGAAGCTTTCCTAGGTCACCTGAGTAGTCACAGCTCTCATACCCAACTTGCTTACTCGTAGTACCTGCCCAGGTACCAACTTTACATTTTGCTACACTTTCCCCCCTACCCCGCCCCCTTTTGTCAGTTTCTTTTCTTCCTTTTTGACTTAGTATCCCTACCAAAGGTCTATAAGTAAAGCAACCACTTAATGTCTGCAGACTTGGATCGATCCTTGGGCAAGTCACTTATCCACTGAACAGAAACTTAAATTTTTCATTATAACATCTATACTCCCTACCTCATAAGATTGTGGAGAAAGCGTTTTCCCACAAATCTTAAAGTGATACAATTTCTTTTAATCAACAAACATTTACGTGCACAAGGGACTCGGGTGGGAGCTGGGGCATGATAGGAAATTTAGATAGCAGTTCCTTCCTTTTAAGGAGCTTTGCAGTCAACAAGCATTTATTAAGCGCTTACTGTATGCTGGGGACAGGGTTAACTGCAGTGATTCTTTAAAATACTATAAATGAGGATACGAGAATAAGGAAAACATTTAACTTACGAAAGCTCCCCGGGGCTTTAAAAAGCAGAGGGTCTTAAGCTTTGGAGTTTTGGACCCCTTGGGCAGTCTGGTGAATGGTTTTAAAACAAAATACACAGGACTACAAAGCAAACCCATTACATGGGAGCCGTAGTCCACATATTAAGACCAGCCCAAAGGGCAGAGCAAGCCAGGCTGAGCACTCCAGCATGATTGGGGGTGGGGCGGAGGGCGGGCCGCGTCAGGGGCGGCTCCCTCGGCCCCGTGTTTACGCGGCGGGATCCAAGGACGCTCCTCCCGCCAGGAAGGGCCTGCCTGGGCTGGGCCGGGCTGGCCCAGCGCTCCCCCGAGGCCGCCCTGGGATAACGCAAGGACAAGGCCCGCCGTGACCCTGTCAGGGTTGGGCGCTCGGCCCTCGGAGCAGGAGCAAGTCGTGGGGGAGGGGTGTCGGGCGGTCTCCCAGCCCGGGTCAGGCCGTTCAGGGCCAAGGAAACGAGAATCCCAGGTAGTTCCGCTCTAGAGCTCCTTCACTCCACACTAAAGCCCTGCGCCGCTCTCCTGATCACTTCCGGCATTTAGAAAGGACCAATCACCAACGAGAAACGCTAAAAGACCACCCAATGACCAATCCGGGCCGGCAGCCAATCCACCGACCTCCTCCTAGCGCGCCCACCCTACGTAGATACACATCGTCGAAAACGGTCGCGACCAATCCTGCTTTTTCGTCCCGCCTCCTGTCTGTCCTCTGGGGAAGGGGGGGCATGCCCATTCTCCGCTCCCGCCCCTTTGCCCCCTATTAGCGCACTTCCTCCCCGACGGCGTGACGTACACAGTCTCTTGTGCTCCGTCCGGCGGGCCAATAGCGTCCGCGGATACGGCGGGCCAATGGGAGCGCGCGTTTCATGTAGGTCTGCGGCCGCCGCAGCCGCCGCTGAGTCCTGGAAGTCAGAGGCCGCCTCGGAACTGTGCGCTATGGATCGGGAGCCCCAGGCAAGGAGGCGCCGCCGCGGAGTCTGCGGCCAGACGGCCCCCTAGGAGAGCGGTCCAGCCCTCGTCCCGCCCGCGTCCGCCGCCCCTTCGCCGTGGGCCGTCGTTTGAGGGGCGGGCGCGCCTCCCGCCCCGGCTCTCCCGGCCTCCGGCCCTTGGCTCTTGCGGTCGTCGACTCCCGGGGAGGCGGAGGCCGAGGCCGCCGGTGGCGGCTCGTCGTCCCTGCGGCCGAGGGGCCTTAGCGTACGGCCCCCGCGGCAGTTTCGGCACCCACGGCAGACGCGGCCGGGGCTTCATGGGAAGCGGCCGCCGGGCCCAGGCCTGGCGTCGCTGACCCCGCTCGCGCCCCGCGCAGCCCCGGCCGGAGCGAGCGGCCCTTTGGAGGTAGGAAGGGGAGGCCTGGCCCGGGCGAGGCCCGGCGGGCGGTGCAGGAGCCCTCCCCCGGGGCCCGCGGGTGGGGGCGGGGGCGGGGAGCCCGAGCTCAGACCCGGGGGAGGCGGCGGCGGCGGCGGCGGCGGGAGCTAGCAGGCGGGGCGTGGGAGAGGCCTCCGTGGAGCGGGCCCGGGCCCGCGGGACAGGCCGGGACGAGGCGAGAACGAGGACGAGGAGGAGGAATAGGAGGAGGGGGGTGTGGTGAAGGCCGGGCAGCGGCAGCAGCCTCGGGATCTTGGGGCCCCGGCTCCGCGCTGCGCTGGGGAAGCCGCGGAGCCTCCGCCGGGGATCCCGGGCCCGCGGGCAGGGAGGGAGCCAGGGCAGCGCTGCGGGAGACCGGGAGCTGCCCAGAGGAGGCGGCCGGGGCTCCCGAGGGGGTGGGGCCGGAGCGGCGACCCCTAGCAGGGTGGGCTCCGGAGCGGGGGAGGGGAGGGAAAGAAGAGAAGAAGGGGGGGAGGGGGCCCCCGGAAGGAGAGCGGGGGCGTCTGGGGGCAGCGCCGGAGGAGGGGGAGGAATGCAGGGCAGCCAGCGCCGGTCTGTGTGTGTATGTGTGTGTGTCTGTGTGTGCGTGCGTGCGTGTGTGCGCGCGCGAGTGTGAGTGTGTGTGTGTGAGTGTGAGAAGGGGGGGAGGGAGGGGGAAGGGGGAAGGGGACCTGGAGCAGCGAAGCCTCGGCGGCTGCGGCTGCTCCGGCAGATCTGGCTTCAAGGAACAATGTGAGACGTTGCCTGAAATGTTAATTTCCGTTCCTCATTTCATCATCCCCTGGCAGGGCGGTTACTCTGTGTGTGTGTGTGTGTGTGTGTGTGTGTATTGTGTGTGGTCGGTTTTGCCACAAGTCGGTCTGGTAGGGATTGGGTTCTTTTATTCTTATTGTTTTTTCTTTTTTTCTTTCTTTTTTTGAGAAGCCTAAATTCTTCTCGGTGCTTGAATTTCTTGAGGCTCTGTTATAGTTGCTCTGTCTCTGTTAAGTCTTTTGCAAAACATACCAGTCTTAAATGCCAACTTTTATTGAGTTTGGAGGAGATCTCCTATAGTTTTGAGAAAGAATAGTTGGATTAAGAGGACTTTGACTGAAAATCTTGTTGAGATGAAGCATACTATGAGGTCTTGGTGTAGATGTGAGTTTACCTATTTTAGAATAGTTTTCTTTTTTCTCAAATGAGTGTTGAAAACAGTGATTTGAACCGTGTGCTAAACATCTCTTGTCCTTTTCACTGTGTAGAAATGTGTATAATGGTTGAACTGCAATATTTAGAATCTTCCTTCCTTTCTTGGTCATCACTTAAGTGACAAAGCTCCACGGGTATACTTAGATAGGGGGCTGGCCTTGGAGGCAGGAAGAACTGGGTTTTTATGTCTTTCCTCAGACATATAATAGCTGTGTGGTAATGGTCAGGGCCTCAGCAACACCTAGGACTAAGTTACAAAGAATTTCCAGTTGATCATAGATCTGGAGCTGGAATGCTCCTTTGAAGCCATTGTTTTTGATTTTATTTTACAGATGAGCGAACTGAGGCCCTGGGAGTCTGTGACTTGTTCAAGGTCACAAAGCTAATAAGTGTCAAAATCAGGACATAAAGACAGACAAGTCAGTTCCTGATCTCAAGGAATTTACATTCTGTTGGTGGTTTGGGCTACATATATAGAAAATAAGACGTGAAATCCTTACTGGGAGAAGGAAGACAACTGAGCAACTTGAGATGGGATGGAATCAAGATAGGCTTTTTGTAGGAGATGGTTTCTGAGCTGAGTTTTGTAAGCTAGGCATTTTAACCGGGCCAGACAGAGTTGAGGAGGGAGTAAATTCTAGGCATGGGGGAACAACCTGTGCAAAGGCGTGGAGGTAGACTATGAGGGGCAACAAATGGGCAAGTTCGGCTGAACCATGGAGTGTATGAAGAGGAGTAAGGCAGAGTGAGGTTGTGAAAGCCTTTATATGCCAAATAAAGGAATTTGTAGTTCATCCTGGAAACCATAGGGAGCCACTGGAACTTGTTGAGTAGGGTAATGACGGTGGTCAAAACCAGTGCTTTAAGTATGTTAAATTGGCAGCTGCATAGACATTAGTTTGGAGGGGGGAAAGAGACTAGAGACAAGAAGACCAGTTGGGGCCCATGTAGTAGTAGATGGCAGAACTGGAATTTGAACAGATTCTTGGATTCCAAAACTAATGCTTTTTTCATTATACCAAGTTACTTCCCTAATCTGAATTAGTAGAGGGAATTTCCACATGCTGTGTTTCCGGTAGGAATGCAATCCAGCCTGAAGTGCAGGGCACCCCCCCCCCCCCATGCTATCAATGATTATGTTGACTTTTGGAAGAGGTGCCATTGCATAATCTTGGTTTGGGCAAATTCATTCAGTGACATAATTTGAATAGTTCTTGGTTGAAGCCCTGAAACCCCATGTTTGCCTGGTACCTGCATTCTTGCTCTTTTTGATCCATTAGATCAGTTCATTGAAATGGTAGCTGTCTTGGAAGACCTATGGTGGTTCTGTGAGAGGTGCAGAAGCACTTACTTAAAGATGGAAAGAAAGTATCCTGCTCAACTTTGATTCTTAAACTTGAATTGGACCTCCACGTCCTGAGTCCCTTTTACATCCCTTTCCCCATTCAGCTGTTCTGTTTCTGTATTTTCACTGTTTTGAGCAGGAGCTTATTTGACTGTCCATTTTGAAGATAGGGAGAGAAGGGAACAAAGATCAAGTTGCTCTGTTTCTGTTTTTTTTTCCTACTTTATGTATGTCTCGTGAATATTTAGTGAAAAGCTACATTCTGCGATTTGATCCAGACCTGAAACTTTTCTAAGTTTTTTTTTAAGTGACATGAGTTCAATTCCTGATTTGCTGTTCAGATTGTGTGGCAGCCTTTTAACTTGGAGTACAACTGTCAGATGTTTTTCTATAGCCTCTCTGTAGACTAGCCATGTTAATCACACTGCACCAGCAGTGCCTTTCATCTTACTAAACCAGATGGGCTGCTTATGACTAGTGCTTGTCATTTTAGCTATAATTACCATGTTGACATAGTGACAAATAGAACTTTCTACAAATTTAGTTAGAAAAAGAAACTATGCTATTTGTATTTGAGAATAATATTTATAAAGCTTTGTATGCCTTGCATTTTAAAGCAGCCTTGACATATTAAGGTTATGTTTCATCAGTTAGAAGAGGATACTTACACTTATTTTACATATGGGCAATGAGCCCATCATCAATTAAATAACATAATTAGAGTGTATCAGTAAAAGCTAGTTCAAAGAAGAATTTTCATCAGTTGCCAAAATACAAATGTTTTGATCTGTCCATTTCTGCAGATCATTCAAAACTGCCATTTGAGGGTGCACTTTTTAAATAGTAAAATATGTTCCAGTTAAAAGTTTGAGCAGCAAAACATGATTATTTGTTATACCTGTGTTTGCCAATTTATCACTGTTGATCACAGTGACCCATTCCACACAACTTGAACAAAAATCTGTTGTTGAACTTAAATGACATTAATATTTAGAAGCTAAAGAAATAATTGTACTGTGTTGATATATGCACATATATTCATGTTCTAATAAACACTTGTTACCTATTTAAGTTGTTTAAATTGAAGTCTTGTGAATCTTATTCAGTTTCATCTTGAAACTTAGTTGGAAATGTGCTGTTAGTAGTAGAGAGGATCCCTTTACAAGAAAATGATGAATGTTACTGACCCTCAGGCAGTAGGGCACAATGAAAGATTCTTCATCAGCAAAGTGGCATGGGTAGGCCTGTGTTTGAGGAAGAGCATTTTGGTAGGTGTTTGGAGGATGAATTGGAGAGGAGAAAGAATAGATACAGGGGAACAGTTAGGAGACTGTTGTCTAGCGGAGAAGTGATGAGGCTCTGCAGTAAGTTGGTAGCCTTTTGAGTGAAGAGAAGGGCTTGAGTTGGGAGACAAATGTTAATACAAGTAGAATCTGCAATATTTGTTATCTAAGGGGAAGTGGGTGAGGAAGAAGGAAGCGTTGCTAGTAAATAGAAAGCAATGAACTGAAGGATTGTGGCACCCTCCCCAGAAGGGAAGTTTGGAGGAGGGGTAGGTTTAAAGGGAGGGAAGATGAGTCTTTGGAGGCAGAGGACTACGTTCATGTCAAGTCTCTGATACTTGCTCCATGGATTAGTCAGTAAGCATTTATTAAGTGCCAGGTGATGAGCCAAATGCTGGGTTACAAGAAAGGCCAAAGACCCTCAAGTTCACAGTTACTTAGCTTCCCTGAGCCCTGGTTTCTTCAGCTTTAAAATGTGAATGTTGGCCTGTGGTCTCTTACAGCTCTAGCTTTTGATATTATGGTTGTTTATGTTCATTTGAGAGTTATCTGCATAGATATGACATTTGAACCGTAATGAGATCAGCAAGGGGTGTGGAGAGAGAAGAAAGTACTAAGTCCCAATTTTGCACCCTGGACTGTGCTAGGCACGGGGCATACAAATACAGAGAATGAAATACAGTAATTTCTACTCCCATTAAGTTTGCATTTGAATGGGGAAGACAGCAAGTATGTTAAAATATACATATATAACTATAATTATAAGTGAATAAACACAACTATGTTCAAGGTAGTTTGGTAAGGAGGGCACTGGCAGTGGGGGATGGGTAATCAGGAAATGCTTAATGCAGAAATGCTTGAGCTATGTCTTAAAAGGAAGAAGAGGACTCAGGCTGAGGTGAGGAGGAGGGAATGTGTGCATTGAAGGCCTGGGGGTTGGGCAGTGTAGAGGCTGGGGCCTGGAGCTGAAGGAAACCAGGCCAGCCAGTTGGGCTGGATCCCAGAGTGTAGGAGGGGGATAATATCCATTCAGGGTGGAAGGAGAAGTTGGGGTCAGGCTGTGTAGGGCTTTAAAAGCTAAAAACAAAGAGTTTCTATTTTATTCTAAAGGCAATAGAAAGCTGATGGCCTTGATCAAGTAAGGGAGTCACATG